CATTGAAAGCCTTTTCATTAGCTGACTCTATTTTGACAGGTACCTCAAAAAGTTATCGTATTGTAATAAATACAAAACCTCGCCCTTTTTTGCCACGTAATCAAAAAAAAAGTTGTGTTATTGTAAGAAATACAAATGTTGGACGAGAATAATCTGAATTAGCTCGATTCAAAGAGTATTCTTTAATAGTCATTTTATACTAATACTATTATAGAATATGAAACATATATAAACATATATTTAGAATATATTCTATATTATAGAATATAGAATATATTCTAGATATATATATAATCTCATTTTTTTGAATGATTCATAAGCAACTACAAAAAAAATTTCTTTTTCATTACTGGATTGAAGTCAGAACTAGATAGTTCTAGTTTCAACAGTGCTTTTTTTTATTTGAAAAAGTATAAACTACAAAAAACCCATTCCCCGTCGTTGTTAAATTTGAAAACGAACACTGCATGGGAAAAAAAAAAAGAAATGAATATAGAAATCAAAACTTCTTTTACTTAAATTGAAAATGATTGCATATATCATATATTTCTATATTCATTTCTATTATATATTAGAAAAAATTAAATTACTTTTTATTATCAATTTAGTTTTATTATCAATTGAGAATAAATGTTTAGTAAATAGTAAAGAAATGTACTCAATAAATATTGGACTTCACTTTATTCAATCTCGACGATTGACTATTGACTTTGACTAAATAATTGGTTATTATGATTTCGAGTCAGCCGCTATGGTGGAATTGGTAGACACGCTGCTCTTAGGAAGCAGTGCTAGAGCATCTCGGTTCGAGTCCGAGTAGCGGCATGGACTCCTACCCGATATTTTAAAAATTTTACAAGATTAATAAGTCCTATAATGAAGTCAATTTCCTATTTCTATTCCGAGTAGTAGATATCTGCGTACGAAAAATAAAAAAGTACGATCAAAGAAAATACAAAGAAATGGACCATATTTTTTGATAATGTATCTCAGATAAATTTTGACTATTCTTACCTATGAACTCCGCTAGATTCAACTTTTTGGTCGTTCAACCAACTAATTGAACCATTTGAATATTGTTGAAATATGAACATTTGTTATTGCATCGCAGAAAAAATCGAAACAAACTAGAATCATTCATTTTCATACTTCCTAGAATATACATCGATTCCTTTTTCATCTAGAAAGAGCATATCTCTGTACGCCTAGATAAATTATGTATAATTATTAAGACCACTAATCAATATGTATCTATTCCTCCCAATATTTGATTTTTGAAAAGAAATATGGGAATAGATACTCATACATAATGAGTCGCCGGGAACCAGATTTGAACTGGTGACACAAGGATTTTCAGTCCTTTGCTCTACCGGCTGAGCTATCCCGACCATTAAAATCTTGACGCACCATCCTAATTTGAGGGAAATTACTTGAGTCTATGTCAACTCAATAAAAAAAAGGGAAAGGGCCATAAAAATGAGCAAATTCAATCGGCTTTTGGGGATAGAGGGACTTGAACCCTCACGATTTTTAAAGTCGACGGATTTTCCGATTACTAAAACTTTCATTGATGTCGGTATTGACATGTAGAATGGGACTCTATCTTTATTCTCGTCTGATTAATCAGTTATTCAAAAGATCCATCATATTTTGGTGGAGTGACTGATTTGATCAATGAATATTCACCATTTTTTCTTCCAGTTGGAATTGATTTGATTCTAATGTTTCGTTTCAATTGTGATCGAATCAAAACTAAAAAAAATAGTTACAATTTACAAATAGAAGTTAGAAATCTTCATTAATCAATTGAATGTTGTCAACTCCATTTGTTAGAATAGCTTCCATTGAGTCTCTGCACCTATCCTTTTTTTCTGAACTTTTAGTTTTTTGTTTTCGGAAAGAAGGATTTGGCTCAGGATTGCCCATTTAAAATTCCAGGGTTTCTCTGAATTTGAAAGTTTTCACTTAATATGTTTCCATACCAAGGCTCAATACAATTAAGTCCGTAGCGTCTACCAATTTCGCCATATCCCCCGTTTGACTTGCTTTTCGTTCATCTAGAAGCTATATTTATTTAGTCGAGAAAGAATTCTCTTCTCGCTGTATTATATAGTACATGTTGTATTATATAGTAGATGCTGTATTATATTATGTTATGTTTTCACTTAACATTACTATGTTTCCATACCAAAGCTCAATACAATTAAGTCCGTAGCGTCTACCAATTTTGAATCGACCCTTTGACTAGCTTTTCGTTCATCTAGAAGCTATATTTATTTAGTCGAGAAAGAATTCTATTCTCGCTGTATTATATAGTAGATACTGTATTATATCGTACCGTATTCTATTTGAGATGTTGTATTCTATTTGAGATGTTGTATTCTATGTTGCAATTGGATTAGAATTGGAGTATAATAATATTGAACCATGACATAAGATAGATATCATATTCAGAGAATATGATTCCCTTTAAGGATGCCTTGGTGGTGAAATGGTAGACACGCGAGACTCAAAATCTCGTGCTAAACAGCGTGGAGGTTCGAGTCCTCTTCAAGGCATAATATTGAGATCTCTTATTGAAATTGAATTGGAATAAGTTCGCCAGCAGATCACGAAGTTTTGGTGATCTTATCTATCTAATGAATGGAGAGTACATTTTGAAATCGTCCCACCTGCAATCCCCCTACCCTAAACCAACGGATAAAGTACATTATATATTTGATTTTGGAGATTGGTGACTTACCCATTCAATGACTTTGGCACTCGACATTCAAAAAAATGGGTACTGTACGCTCGGGTCGGGTGAATTCCAAAATAGCCGCCTATGTCAACCTTCTTTCTCCTTTCAGGACAGGACCTATCCGAAAAGAAAGAAAATTCTGTACTTATTGGTCGTGAATATCTGAATAGGACAAATTACCCTGTGGATCTCTTTATTTGCTTCAAAACAAGTAGGCTCGGTCAACGGCAATATGGATTATCAATATTAGGGGATCTTTCAATTGAGAAGATCCCCTAATATCGACTTGAGACGACGAGAAAGAAAGTATCTATTTTATTTCATTTCATTATTCAGTTAAACCAATCGTTCGTTATTGGAACAGATAGTCACAACCATCTCGTCTGGGAAAAGCCATTTTTTTCTCAACAATGTCTTTGTGAGTTGAGCCAATAGGGTTCCGTTAGATAGGAACAGATTTGATAAATATTGATAACTCTCGTATAGAGTATTAGAACGAAAAAATTCATTTGATACTGAACTATTGGTTCTAAACCATCTCTGGCGATCAATCAACAATTTGAAATTCTGTTCTTGCATATTCTTCCTAAACCAGGGTTTATTTAGATATTTCCAATCAATTTTTTGGGTTTGGGAAGTCAAAAGTATCCTTGACATCTCTTCATCTGGAGAAAATTCTTGATGTGAAAATACAGATCCAAAAGGATCCTCTTGGAATAGCAAAAACAGTGGATCTGCGGGGTCCCAAATGAATTGGCTTATTCGAAAAAAGCCCTGTTCGTTGGAAAATCTCGCTCGTGTCTGGTCCTGCATGATTCCATCCTGCAAGAACTGCGAATCATTATCATTCTCTTGAAGCTTACCCTCTTCATCATAATCATCAAGGATCGGTTTGTCCTGAAATGACCCTTCCCAATAGGGAAATCTCAATTCATTGGACCCTTCGTCAAAGAGAAAGCCCCAAGGGCGCCACAGTCTCGGAGCCCAAAGTATGTGATTGAATAAATCCTCCTCTAGCGGTTGCGGGTCGAAGACTCCTTCCCCTTCTTCGAACCCCGATTCATATTTTTCATAGAGAAATCTCTGATCAACGATAGAAGAAGACCCATTTTGAATCATATTTAAGGGATTTCTTGGTTCGGACCGAAGAAGCAATGTCACGCCATCATTATCAAACCGACTTCCTGTCTGTGAGGGTTCCAGCAGAGCACCTTCTATTTCTAATAGCCCATGAACTAGATCAGAATCATTCTCAAGGAGTCTATAAGAAGTGATCCCATCATTTGTTTCATTAGGTCCGGGTAGAGACCAAAGATCTTGAGCGACCGATCCGGCAGAACAACTCAAAAGATAAAGAAGTATGGTTAATTTCTTCATGCTTGTTCCAAGTTGGAAGTACCATTTGTACAAATAAGAATCCCCCTCTGCACATGATTTCTTCTTCATATAGATAGATATAGGATCGATAGAGCAATTACTTAGAAGTAGATTTTGTGAAACAGCCCTCCCTATCTGATAAAAAAGGATCCCATGATCCTGAATCGATCTTATCTGAGATCTAAAATCCCAAGTTTGTCTATGAAGAGCAGATCTAATTATATTAGTGTCTATAATAGATTTCTTTTGTATAATACTAATCGATAGCGCCTCATTAGTAAGTGCTACAAGATCTCGTACATTAGAACCCAGAGTTATAGACCCCAATCCATTAGTATCGAATATTTGCTTTTCCAAGTGAAATCCCCTAGTATATGAAAGAGTAAAAAAGTGCTTTCTTTGTTGTGGAATAAGAAGCCTTCGTATCTTAATGCATGTATTTAATTTATTCGGAGCTATTAAAGCAGGGTCTACTTTTTTTGGAATATGAGTAGAAGCAATAACTAGAATATTTCTAGTAGAACCTTTTTCCGAATCGCTGGAAAGAGAGTTCACTAATATACCCAGCGATAAGTCATTCGACTCATTCCTATCCAGATCATGAATGTTTGGAATCCAAATTATGCAAGGAGACATTGCTTTTGCTAATTCGAATTGAAGCGTGAGATAAAACCGGTCTATTTCCATCAGATCGCTAGATACCGGATCCTCCATACTTAGAAACTTCAACTGGCTATCAAGCTTACGGTCGAGATCGTCACTATCATCCCTTTCAAAATTCTCGGAATTATAGCAACTACCCTCGTTATTAGGTAAAAGACTGTAAATGGTACCCTCTCTTTCATCAAACATGTCGTCCTCACTATCATCACTATCAAAACCCTTAGGAAAGTTCTCCAGGAACTTGTTTACAAATACTGTAATGAAAGGAACATAGGTGGTTGTCGCTAGATATTTGAGCAAATAGGATCGTCCAGTTCCTATCGAACCTATCACTAAAATACCCCTAGCAGGGGATAGGGCTAAGCGTAGCGAAAAGGGTTTCCCATGAGATGATAAATCCAAACAACTAGCCCCACACGGGATTTCTGAATAAGTGATTGTCTGATAATGAGCGAGGAATACCCGTCTTTCTGCTAAGCAGGATGTATTGAACTCATAATTCATCAGATCCTTTTTATGAATGTCAATTAAATATCGTAAGTAAATTGTTCCTGGTTGCTCAATCATTTGATAACCAGAGTTATTCTTTGATAACTGATCACTATTAGTCAGACTCAATAAAATTTGATCCAGCCTTTTTTCTGTCGTTAAGGTAGAGAACTGAACCAAGAATTCTCTTTCTTTATCAGCAATGAAATCACTAGTCGAGATCCAGGATTCTATTTTATCATCAATCCAATTACTATTCATGTTTTTTCTTTTCCTTATCAATGAATAGATTGCTTTACTTGTATGACTTAAATGTCTCGTATTTCTCAAAAACGCGATTCGATTGATGGGATTTGGTATAATACTTATGAGATCCATGAGATTAAAACCGTTCTTCTTCGAACGTATGGATTTGACCCCATCAGCGAAACCACCACCCCTTGGGATGTCCCCGCCAGAAGGCCAACCTCGCCTTTCTTCTAAAAAATTTCCTAATTGTTCTCGAGCAACTCCAAAGATATCCTTTAACCAGAAAGAATTTTGTTCTGATAGAGGATACCTATCCAGAAGTTTTCGCAATTCAATGATGTAGGATGGAATCATCAAAGATTTGACCTGTTCGAACTCTGTCTGTAACTCATTAGAGAAGCGAGAAACAAAGAAAAGATGTGTATAAACAAGATATCCAGTAACAAGAAGAAGTAAAAGGATTGAAACCAGGAACTCCTCAATATTTCGTGATCTCAGATGTGTCGATATGAATGGTGACTCATTATTTGTGTGAAAAAGATCTTTGTACATGTCTACAAGAAAATTATGGAAAGACTTACTCGAAATCTCACTTATACGATTCCGTTGTGAAAGACACAGTTTTTTCCGAAGAATTCCCCACAGTTTTTTCCGAAGACTTCCCTTGGATCCATGCATAATATTCTGCCAAATAGATACAAATTTTTTAAATTGAGGACTCCTCCTTAGTATCGCAAATAGGTCTGAAAGAGTATCTAAAAATATGAAATTGATATATTTGTGCCCTGTCCAGGTAAGGAACAACGGTATTATATACGGGCGTAATCGCTTCAATTTGGAGAGAATTGAAGAAATACTCTTTCTTTTTCTTTTTCTTTGAAAGTTTCTATACATCTGCCCTTTTCCAAGGAATTTTTTTAGAGGTTTTTTCCTCTTTGCGGATGGTATAAATTTTTCAGAATATAGAGTGTCAAGCAAACCCAAACCCATGTTTGAATCGAAATCAAGATACTGATGCAAGTTCTTCCTTTTTGAATCAGATAAATTAATAGGGGAAAGAGGTTGACAAGAAGTTCTTTCCAAATTCACTATTTCTTCCTCTGTTAGAGGTGTTCCAGAAATGTCCGCGATCGAGTAAATAGATCTAGGAACACGAGTTGAAAAATGGAAAGATTTGTACAAGTCATATCCGTCATCACCACTTTGCGGAAAATTCTTCGGTCTCAATATCTTAGAGACCTCTAACTCGCTTGGTGAAATAGTATCTCTGTCCAAAAAAGCATGTGTTTTTTTACCGCCGCACAAAGAAAATCTTTTCTTTCGAATGAACAAGACATTGAGGAATTGTTCATACATAAAATCATAATTATAGGACCTTTCCCCATAAAAAGAGAATCTTTTGTTACAATCGAAAGAGAAGTTATATTGATTATTCAAGAATCGAAGTCGATTTACTTTATAAAAAGAGGAAATCAATGAACTTCTATGAAAACATTTCACAGGATTCAGCCAATTGTCTTGGTTTGGTATCTTATTGAACAAAAATGGTAATATTGTTCCTTCATTGATCAAGAATTTTGATTTTTGAGAAGTATAATAGTCATCCAATAATGGGGATTTCCTTTTTTTCAAATGAACCGTTTGCAGACCTATTGATTCTAACAACTGATTCTCGAGTGCATCATTCATACGTTTCAATTCATACATATGGCTCTGGGACCTATGAACGGGCATACTCCCGAAACTCACAAAGAAAAAAGGAAGTGAGTTAGACAAAAAGGGAAGAAGCTTGGACAAAAAGAAACAAAGTGACTTAGAAAAATCTTTTTTGTCGATAACCTCAGCCCAATCAATCGAATATGCATTCATATGTAATCGATCGAACACTACTTTAAAACGACTATTCTGCTCAGAAATGAAATGGTCCAAATGTTCCTGGAAATTTGTGCTCCCCTTGGACCATTTGTATTTATATGCATTTGGATCCTTATTCACGGATCTCTCGGTTCGATAAATAAAAATAAGACGATCAAAGCATTTCTTCTGACTCTTTTTCAAATTTGAGAAACGTTGATTGATCGTGTGTTTCCTTATAGGTCTATGATTCAGAATATCATTTTGATACCTTTGAAGTACATATTCGAAGTTGCGATTGAATCGATTACCTTGAAAATAATTCCCACAAGAGGTCTGGACCCATTTTTTTATGATCTTTGGATAAAAAGATTCATTCGCTTCGTCAAAAAGCCGCGGCAGAACCAATAAAGATTTTTTTTTTGATTCCGGTTCAGAAAACCCAATAGAAAAAGAGAATCCATTACGATAGACCAGATCCGGCTTAGTTAGTGATAGATTAAATAGATTTGCCATTTCTTGAAATCTCTCTTCTGATTGAAAATTGCGATGTAACAAGTACCCCCCCCTATTCTGGTCATGGAATAGATGAAATAAACCAAAAACTAGATTTTTGGTCAAGAATGAATTATTATTTTGAACTGTCAAAAGTTTCTCCTTTGCAATCCTATCACATCCTCCATCGGATGAAATAGGATGAATTGAGACATTATTTTGTAAATACATGATTATCTTGACTATATTGGCTAGTTCTTTCTTTTCCAATTTCCTCCAAAGAACAAAAGAAACATCTTCTTCTTTCTTTAATAATTGAAGATCTTGAGCGGACTTCTCAGTAGGATTCAAATCCAGATGAAGTTGGGACCATCTGTCCGAGAAAAAAGAGCGATCAGAGATCTTTTTTTCTTTTGGACCAGACAGGAGCGGAACAATCAACCTATTGATATTGAACGAATCTTTTGAGTCTTCCAATCTATCATTGCCGGATCCAATGGAATTTATTTGTATAGGAAGAAGCCCTGTCAAATAAATATTTTTTTTTTCGATCATCCTTCGATTGTTAATACGATATAGAAGGATCGCTACTACAAAAAGTACTACATTCTTGATCGTGAAATATCGATTTCTTGTTAAACCCTGTGACTGACGTGAAACTAGGATACTCCAAATTCTGGAGTCTAAGACTTTTATCAAACTCTCTTGATGCAAAAAAATGTGAATGACAGATATCGCTGAATTGAATTGCGTCCAGGAATCTAAGAAATAGGCACAATTCTTGCTCTCTCTAAAAATTTCTCGCAATTCGAAAATCCAAAAGTGGAATTGATTGTTCTTCATAGGATCCTCCTTAAAAAATTAAAAATAATTTATCTCTTTATGTATGTATTTCTATTAAGTTATTTATTTATGTATGTATTTCTATTAAGTTATTTCTTTATGTATGTATTTCTATTAAGTTATTTATTTATGTATGTATTTCTATTAAGTTATTTCTTTATGTATGTATTTCTATTAAGTTATTTCTTTATGTATGTATTTCTATTAAGTTATTTCTTTATGTATGTATTTCTATTGATTTATCCAAAAGATTTCACTTCAATTGAAATTTGGTTATTCATCAAGTCGGAGGGTTGTTCCCTCGAAGCATCCATGGCTGAATGGTTAAAGCGCCCAACTCATAATTGGCGAAGTCGTAGGTTCAATTCCTACTGGATGCATGCCAATAGAAATATCTCCCCTAAAAACTATATTTTTAATCATGAATTATTATTTTGAACTGTCAAAAGTTTCTCCTTTGCAATCCTATCACATCCTCCATCGGATGAATATAGGATGAATTGAGACATTATTTTGTAAATACATGATTATCTTGACTATATTGGCTATTTCTTTCTTTTCCAATTTCCTCCAAAGAAAAAAAGAAACATCTTCTTCTTTCTTTAATAATTGAATTTGAAAATAATAGAAACTTCAAGAATTGATCATTTCTAAATAAAGAAAGAATTTCTTTATTTATTCTATTTAAATAATTTCTGATCTGTAGTAGACCTCTTAGCTTAGTAGTATTTGAATCGAGACTTGGATCTGTATCAATGGAATCTCATCATCCATACATAACAAATTGGTGTGGTATATTCAAATTTTAATAAATGAACAGTAAAAAAACTAGTATTTTTAGTGAGACTAGAACTCATCGGGAAGAAAGAATAAAATAGATTTATGAATGGAATAAAATCTGCAGTATTTACAGACACTAAATTTTCGTTATTTCGAAAAAATCAATATACTTTTCATGTCAAATCAGGATTAACTAGGACAGAAAGAAAACATTGGGTCGAACTCTTCTTTGGTGTCAAGGTAAGAACTATGAATCAACTCGCAATCCCAATAAAGGGTAGAAGAATACGACCTATTATGGGACATACAAGGCATTACAAACGTATGATCATTACGCTTCAACCGGGTTATTCTATTCCACCTCTTAGAAAGAAAATAACTTAAATAAAAATACACTTCATAACATGGCGATACATTTATCCAAAACTTCTAGCCCGAACACACGCAATGGAGCCGTAAACAGTCAAGTGAAATCCAATTCACGAAATCGTTTGATTTCTGGACAGCATCATTGTGGTAAAGGGCGTAATGCCAGAGGAATCATTACCGCAGGGCATAGAGGGGGAGGTCATAAGCGTCTATACCGTAAAATTGATTTTCGACGCAATGAAAAAGACATATATGGTAGAATTGTAACTATCGAATACGACCCTAATCGAAATGCACACATTTGTCTCATACACTATGGGGATGGTGAGAAAAGATATATTTTACACCCCAGAGGGGCTATAATTGGAGATACCATTATTTATGGTACAAAAGTTCCTATAAAAATGGGAAATGCCCTACCTTTGAGTGCGGTTTGAACTATAGATTTACGTAATTGGAAGTAACCAATTAGGTTTAAGGCGAAACCTAGAAATCGATCACTGATCCTATTTGAGTACCTCTACAGGATAGACTTCAACAGAAAACTGAAGAGTAACAGCAGCAAGTGATTGAGTTCAGTAGTTCCTAATATAAAATTATTGACCCTAGAGATATAGTAATATGGAGAAGACAAAATTGTTTCAAGCACCGACAGAACACGAAGTGCTCCTCGTTTCAAAAAACAAAGGGGGGAAGACACAGATTATTCACATTTCATTTGATGGTCAAAGGCAAATTGAAAGCTAAGCAGTGGTAATTCTAAGGATTCCCCCGGGAAAAAATAGAAATGTCTCCTACGTTACCCGTACTATGTCTAAGTAGCAACGTAATTTCATAGAGTCATTCGGTCTGAATGCTACATGAAGAACATAAGCCAGATGAAGGAACAGAAAGACCTAGGATGTAGAAGATCATAACATGAGTCATTCAGAATATTTGGATTCGTATATTATATATCCACTCATGTGGTATGGTACTTCGTTATGTCATATATAATATACGAAATAAACGATATATAAGATGTATCTGTATAGATATTCTAATCTACATCCAGAAAGCCGTATGCTTTGGAAGAAGCTTGTACAGTTTGGGAAGGGGTTTTGATTGATCAAAAAGACGAATCTACTTCAACCGATATGCCCTTAGGCACGGCCATACATAACATAGAAATAACACTTGGAAAGGGTGGACAATTAGCTAGAGCAGCGGGTGCTGTAGCGAAACTGATTGCAAAAGAGGGTAAATCAGCAACATTAAAATTACCTTCTGGAGAGGTCCGTTTGATATCAAAAAACTGCTCAGCAACAGTCGGACAAGTGGGGAATGTTGGGGTAAACCAGAAAAGTTTGGGCAGAGCCGGAGCTAAACGTTGGCGAGGCAAGCGTCCTGTAGTAAGAGGGGTAGTTATGAACCCTGTAGACCATCCACATGGGGGTGGTGAAGGGAGGGCCCCAATTGGTAGAAAAAAACCCTCAACTCCTTGGGGGTATCCTGCACTTGGAAGAAGAACTAGAAAAAGGAAGAAATATAGTGATAATTTGATTCTTCGTCGCCGTAGTCAATAGTGGATAGTAGAGAAAATAGAATTTGTTTCTTCGTCTTTACAAAAGAAAAGAGCGATTGACTATGACATTCTATGATTTTCTTTTTTGAGAGATTCTATATTTTAAAAAGAGATTCTATATTTTAAAATTGGAAATAAAATAAAAAATATAAGAGAAAAAATTCATTTTTTTAGAAATTTTAAGAGGAATAATTAACTATGACACGTTCACTAAAAAAAAATCCTTTTGTAGCGAATCATTTATTAAGAAAAATAAATAAGCTTAACACAAAAGGAGAAAAAGAAATAATAATAACTTGGTCCAGAAGATCTACCATTCTACCTACAATGATTGGGCATACCATTGCTATCCATAATGGAAAAGAGCATTTACCTATTTATATAACAGATCGTATGGTAGGCCATAAATTGGGAGAATTTTCACCTACTCGAAACTTCCGAGGCTTTGCGAAAAATGATAATAGATCTCGTCGTTAACATTCATTTTAACATAAATTTAGTAATAGTCATTAATAAATATTAATTAATAAATTACTCAAAAAGAATTGTATTATTCTGCAATCAAAAAAACAGATTTTATTTTTTCGTGAAAATAGAACCAATACAGAGAAATATAACCCTTTGTTCAAAAAATATTTTTGTCTATTCACAACACAAAGCGTGAATGGTAATTAATAATATTCAAAAATTGAAAGGGTTATTATAATAGAACTAATGCTTTGCAGAAAAAAAAAGATATATCAAGATATTAAAAAAAATATATATATATAGATAAAAAAGTAGACAAATCAGACGTATTATTTTATATAGAGTAGTGAGGGATTATGGGACAAAAAATACATCCGCTTGGTTTCAGACTTGGTACAACTCAAAGTCATGATTCTATTTGGTTTGCACAACCAAGAATTTATTCCGAGAATGTAAAAGAAGATAAAATAATACGAGATTGTATCAAGAATTATATACAAAAAATACAAAAAACAACAACCGCTGTCGATGGCGAGGGAATTGGACGAATAAAGATTAAAAAAACACGCGATCTGATTCACGTGATAATCAATATGGGACTTCCAAACCCAAACTTAGTAATAGAGGATAACCCTGAAAGAATGGAAGAATTACATACTAATGTGCAAAAAAAAATAAATTGTGTGAACCGACAAATCAACATTGAAATTACAAGAATTCCAAATGTTTATAGAGACCCGAATATTCTTGCAGAATTTCTAGCCAGACAATTAAAGAATAGAATTCCGTTTCGTAAAGCAATGCAAAAAACTATAAAAAAATTCGCTGAAGAGGCAGGTGCAGGTACAAAAGGAGTTCAAATACAAATTGCGGGACGCATCGACGGAAACGAAATTGCACGTGTCGAATGGATCAGAGAAGGTAGGATTCCTCTACAAACCATTCGAGCTAAAATTGATTATTGTTCCTATCCAGTTCGAACTATTTATGGGGTCTTAGGAATCAAAGTTTGGATATTTATAAACAACGACTAATAACCTTTTCCTTATAACGTTCCATCTTTTGAGAAAACAAAAAATGACGAATTCTTACTACGTTCTTATTCTCAAAGAAGAAATGAAAAATTTTAAAAGATTAAATAAAAAAAAATTAATTAATCATTTTATAATGAAGGAGTTGCTATGCTTAGTGTGTGACTCGTTGGTTT